CGGGTTAAATGCTATTGGCTATTAGGAGAGGGGGGGGACACTACCTTTCCATACAGCGCGACATCTTCAGACCGCCAAGCCTTAACTACCCACACTCTACCACCGCCTCAGCCTGACCAGACCTCTGGTTCTGATGTGCAGAAAGCAGACTCCACAATCTGTAAGACTGTAAAGTAGGTATGTTTATTCGACGCCGGGCGGCACGGGGGGTGGTCCCACCAAAGTCGTGCGCGCCAAGCAGCAACTTGTCTCTTCAATTTAAACGATCAAATATTACATATATGTTAGATTTCCCAATACGCCTAGACGTATGCATCTATCCTCATTTCCTATCAAAATCAGTTCCAAGAAATAATTTCCATATTATAATTAGTTCTAAGAAGTAATTTCCATGGCTCCTCCCAGCCGCGCTTGCGCAGTGCCTCCTGGTGGTGGTCATTGGGGGTCCCAAGATGAAGGCCCATCCTCTTCATCACGGTGTTTGCTGATTGACCTTTGTTTCTGCGCAAACTCAGTTGTCTTCTGGATCCCATCCATGCAGCAGGGTTGGTCTTAACCGGTTCTAGGCGACTCCCAGCCCCTGTCAGGAACTAGCCCCTTTGTATGGAGATGCAGGACTCTCTGCTTCAGTTAATTTAGACAATAGATAGGCACTATCAGTTCTCTTTAAATGCACCGCAACTATTAGGTAATGCTACTTCCACTAAAATCCCTTTTAACCCCTTCCTTCAGTCCCCCTGTTTTCAAAATAGTTAGTAAATTCTTTTACTACTCTGAATTTCATTATAGTACATTATTCTTCAGCATCTTCTCAAAATATTTATTGGACTCCAGCTTTCATCGTAATTGGTTCCTTTTCCATTCACTATAAGAATTTCCCGTACTCTTGCAACACCAAAGGCTACACCTCTCAAGCTTTAGCCGTCCTGGTTGGGAATGCTTCCGGCCAACCTGAAAAGGTATCGGTTAATACCAATAGGTATCGGTACCCCCCTTTTTTTGGGAGGTCCGTGAAATCAATTTGCTATTGTTGTCTAGGCCCAATACCTTTTCCAATCTGACCCATTTCTGGTTTAGGATTATTTTTCGGATTAGTCTGGAGGCAAAGCTCGCACTGCTGAGTCACCTGTCTCACTGTGGTGTATAAATTTCTGGCCACAATCTCTCTAATTAAATGTTTGTACAGAGCCTTTATCCCCCAATGCCTTTTTTATGTTCTTCCCTTATCAAATGCCATATCAGACAG